TACATGGTGTGGCGTGGCGCTGTTCGCAAGCCAGTCACGGTCTTCACGGCTTCGTTGCCGCTCGAGAATCAGCAAAATTACCTTCGACAGCACAGACGGAAGCCGCCCTTGTTATGAATATTGTAATCTTGCGAATTAACCGGTCACAACTGTCGGAATGATCATTAGTCTAATGATCATCAGAGAATTGAAAAAGTTTTGAGGCAACAAAGCAGCAGAGAAAATTGAATTGAATATGCGGTTGTCACTCGGTGACAGCTGACCGTTGCGTTAACATCAGCTGATCGGGAGAGGAAATGCGATCAAGAAGTCGCTATGGTTTTTGAGTCAATTCTGTTTCTGAATTTCGGATTTCTCACTGAATCATCTCTAAACCGGAATGATTGACCAAGCAGCAAATGAAATAGCTGTTCAAACACTGACAGCAAAGCTGTGCTTAGTTGAATTGTTTTTGAACAAATTTTATATGAACAAAAATAGTAAATTTTGGACGTCTGGCAAGGTGTTCACTTATCAGAATCACTACTGATAAGCTTCACTGTCACGCTGATAAAGGAACAACGTACCAAGGCTCCAAAATCTCAGTGATTTTATTCTTTGTGGGCTAAATCCCGCTTTAAATAAATTGCTAAGTTGCTCGTCTTCATAATGGATTTGATTTATCAATAGAAGGGTAGCCTAAAGTCGTTCCTTGGATATGGAGTTTAATTTTTACAGATCAGTGAAGAGTTAACGTTTGCTATCGATTAATATGTATTAATCTTTGGAAGAACAAGAAGAACTTCGTACTCTGCATACGAACTAAGCTTGATGAGGAACGTCAGATGGCCTTGATTAATGAATATCTTTTGCGTTGTCTTGCGTAAAGAAATCATGTACCTTATTCATCAATCTATATTTTTTGATAGCACAAGTTCTGTGTGCTAAAAAGAACTGTGCGTTTTGGAATGTCATTAACAGGAAAGTATAGCACAGTACGACTCCACATCACGAAAATGACGCCCGGGCAAATCAGACTCTCATCGTGAGTGAAGACTGAGTATCGCCTGAGACGTCGGTTTCCGCTGTGAAATTAATACAGTGGTACCTCGAGTCACGAACGCCTCTAGTCACGAACAACTCGACGCACGAACACAATTTCCGAACAAACTTTGACTCGACCTGCGTACAATGCCTCGACGCACGAACGCACAAAC